ATAAAAACCAGATGGGACATCACAATTCATATAAGGCCACTTCCACACAGGATTAGCTCCATTGCAGTGGGGAATCTGTCTGCTGATCCCCACGAAACAGACAGATGGTTGATCCATATCTGCTCCAATTATGCAGAGCAAAGACAGCCCACTCTCTTCTGTGGGAGGTTGGATGTAACCAGATCACCTGTCCATTTACACCTGACTGCTATCTGATCTGTTCTGCCAGACAGATGAGGAACGGATCACCATTCTTCTGTTTGCACTCCATAGAGGAGACTGGAGGGTCCGATCGGGTCCACCTGAAAATTGGGACCCAATCAGTCTGCTAGTGTGAAAGGGGCCTAAGTCTTCTCATGGAAGGCATGGAGAGTTGAATATGTCACTGGCTTCATACAAAAGTGGAAAAATTGCATGTGCACCCTATAGAGAAATGAAGAAATAACAAGAATCAAGGGGGAGGGCAGCATATGCAAATAAAAACCAACAGCAAAAGGAACAATTAACTGCTATTGTCAATTTTGATGACAAAGTTGAGATCCTGCAGCTGAGACACGTGCTCTGTGGGGTCATTCACCTTCACACTGTTGACCTATGAAACACACAGAGAGTGAGAAAAACTTAGACCATTTCCCTCCAGGGTTCCACCAGAGTTTGCTAGGTATTCCTTTAATAATGAGTAATTTCTGCCTCTTGCATAAATAACTAATGACACCAATTATACTGTATATTTTCTAGCTATATATTTAGGGAGACATTCTTCCCACTGACCACATATGTATATAATGAACATCCTTCCCACCAACCACCATTGTAAGGGCATTTTTCCCACTGACCACCAATGTAAGGAGTATTCCTCCCACCCGCAGCCAATGTAAGGAGTATTCTTCCCACTGACCACTAATGGAAGGAGTATTCCTCCCACCGACCACCAATGTAAGGAATATTCTTCCCACCGACAGCCAATATAAGGATTATTCTTCTCACCGACCACCAATGTAAGGAGTATTCCTCCCACTGACCACCAATGTAAGGAGTATTCTTCCCAGCAACCACAATGTATGGAGTATTCTTCCCACCGACCACCAATGTAAGGAGTATTCTTCCCAGCAACCACAATGTAAGGAGTATTCTTCCCACCGACCGCTACTGTAAGGAGTATTCTTCCCACAGACCACCAATGTAAGGAGTATTCCTCCCACCGACCACCAATGTAAGGAGTATTCTTCCCAGCAACCACAATCTAAGGAGCATTCTTCCCACCGACCGCCAATGTAAGGAGTATTCTTCCCACCGACCACCAATGTAAGGAGTATTCTTCCCACTGACCACCAATGTAAGGAGTATTCCTCCCACCGACCACCAATGTAAGGAGTATTCTTCCCAGCAACCACAATGTAAGGAGTATTCTTCCCACCGACCGCCAATGTAAGGAGTTTTCCTCCCACCGACCGCCAATGTAAGGAGTATTCTTCCCACCGACCACCAATGTAAGGAGTATTCTTCCCACCGACCACCAATGTAAGGGGCATTCTTCCCACCGACCACTAATGTAAGGGCATTCTTCCCACGGACCACCAATGTAAGGGGCATTCTTCCCACCGACCACCAATGTAAGGAGTATTTTTTCCACCGACCACCAATGTAAGGGGCATTCTTCCCACCGACCAGCAATGTAAGGAATATTTTTCCCACTGACCACCAATGTAAGGAGTATTCCTCCCACCGACCACCAATTTAAGGAGTATTCTTCCCAGCAACCACAATGTAAGGAGTATTCTTCCCACCGACCACCAATGTAAGGGGCATTCTTCCCACCGACCATTAATGTAAGGGCATTCTTCCCACCGACCACCAATGTAAGGGGCATTCTTCCCACCGACCACCAATGTAAGGAGTATTTTTTCCACTGACCACCAATGTAAGGGGCATTCTTCCCACCGACCACCAAGATAAGGAGTATTCTTCCCACCGACCACCAATGTAAGGAGCATTCTTCCCACCGACCACCAATGTAAGGAGTATTCTTCCCACTGACCAATGTACGAGGCATTCTTCCCCGCATGTGTCATATACAATTGGCAATACAAGTGAATGGCTGTACATGGCCTCACTCGGGTCAACTTTCTTGTTTTGGGAAAAATGCTGTGCACACAGGTAAACGCCAATTTTTGTGGTGAGGACATAGAAGAGGTTTTCTTCTGATGACTCTTCCATGAAGACCATATTTGTACAAGTATCTCTTTATAGTGGAATAGTGTACCACAACTCCAGTGTCTGCCAGATCTTTCTGGAGGGATCGTGCAGTCAAACGTGGGTTTTGAATTGTTTTTCTCACAATCTGCGAGCTGTTCTGTCTGATATTTTTCTTGGTCTTCCAGATCTTGCTTTAACTTCCACTGTTCCTGATGACTGCCATTTCTTAATTACATTCCGAACAGAGGATATTGACATCTGAAAACGCTTTGCTATCTTCTTATAGCCTTCTCCAGCTTTGTGAGCGTCAACTTTTTTCAGTTTCAGTTTTCTAGATAACTGCTTAGAAGAACCCATGGTGCTGATTGTTGGGGCAAGGTCAGATGAGTCTGGGCATTTAAAACCTTTGAGATTGACATCACCTGGTCTTCCCAGACGATGATTGAGAACAATCCATGACACTGGCAGGTCTCAGCTTTGCAAAGGGGGCAGTGCATGCTATAAATTCTGCAGGGTGCCCAAACTTTTGCAGACGCCATTTTTTTGTTTTCTGTTATTTTGAAAGTGTAAATGATGGAAATAAAATCTAACTTTTGTTGACATATTATAAGAATGTCTAATCTGTAATTTGATGCCTTTTGGAGATTTTTCCATCTTTCCTTGGCTTCTTTATGCACATTAATACAAATTTTTAGCTGGGGTGCCCAAACGTTCGATCCCCACTGTAGCAGGGGTGGACTGACAACTCATGGGGCCCCCAGGCAATAGGGGATCATGGGGCCCCTGTGTCCTTGCCCAAACTCAAAAAAGCCTATGAAAAAGGTTCCAGGGGCATCTCATGGGGCCCCCTACTGACCCCGGACCCTCGGGCAGTGCCCGAGTTTCCAAATGGTCAGTCCACCACTGGTATGTATTCATGCAAGATTATACAAAAAACAAAAATACATAAAGGGTTTAACAGCAATTACCAGTTGATGATACCAGCACATTCCCAGATGGCTCATGCAAAACATAGGTCAATCGTATCTGGATGAACAGAGGGGGGCCTCCAATAACCATAAATAATGATCATCGATCAAGAAAGGATCTATGTCCACTTGTAGACTTGTAAAACAACAGAATCATCATTCTAGGGCAGTGTTTCTCAACATTTTTTCAGTCAAGGCACCCTTTAAAATTATGGACAGTCCCAAGGCACCCTATAAAATTATGGACAGTCCCAAGGCACCCTATAAAATTATGGACAGTCCAGAGGCACCCCATTCTAAAATGTGAAAAAACTATTCTAAGTTTTATATAATGCAGCAACATCCACACACGTAGGATACCCAACATTAAAGGCGATTTATTCTTCCAAAGCAAATACACTTCTGCACACTGGTACTGACTAGTATTCCAATGTTTCACTTCTTCCTCAATTTTACTCCATCACTGAGCTAATGTGACCCCAGTGCTGATGGAGAAGAGCAGGGGAGGGTCAAACTAGGATGCTGTGCAGGCAGTTGACATCCTCCTTATCAACTGATGATTTCATTGGTTGTCAGGACGCTGGCGGCTAGAAAGTCATAATGGTGCACAATGAAAACCTGTGGCTTTCTGCAACTAAAAGGCAGGTTTGATCCACCCGCTGGCTTCTATACAAGGCAGGCTTTTTACACTCACTGGCTTTTTTAGACATTTTTGACCAAGGCACCCCTGAAGAAACCTCAAGGCACCCCAGGATGCCTGGGCACCCTGGTTGAGAAGGACTGTAATAGGGAATCACAAAATACATTGACCAAAAATAGTAATGCAAACCCCCCCATATAAAGTCCCAACTACACCCCTACTCCCCAGTAATTGTGCAACTGTGTGTAGTCTTCCTTAAACATCAGACAAGCAATTAGGAGTCCATGATGCCTGTGAATCACATGACCACATAGACCCAACATGTGACCAAGGAGACTTGTACGACTGCCATACAAGGTCAGTGCTGTTTATGTACATTGTGAATCTACATCTCCAGTTTAATATCCATATTTACCAAGAGAGTACAGCTGATCATGAAATACGTTCCACAGTTATCTGCTTTCTTTTTAATGGAGCTCCAAAGTAAAAGTGACTTTGTATTGCTTCATTGCAGCTCATAGTTTCTGGCTAAGATAATGAATTGCGGTCAGGTTCATCTGCAGGGTGACCTTCGCCTCATTCTAATTTTATTTTCCTCCCCATCAAGGACAAAGGCCTCCTCCCATCTCCTCTGTATAAGATCATATGGAAGCAGTTACATTAATTTGTACAGCATCCTGACTCCTCATCTGATTTATCAGTTTCCTACAGCAGCTCGGATCCTGCGAGAAAATATTCACATTTCTATGAAGGTTTCAGATTTGGCTCTGCCATTCAAAAGTTCCCTTAGCTCAGTGAAGCTGGGTTCACTTCATTCATGAGCAAGGGGAATTGCTACTTTTTTAAAGGGTCGGTTCTTTTAGTCATCGGTGGAGCCTGGTGGGCTGAGTTATCAACAGGCTTCTTATATGTCTTGGTATTCTAGTAGCAACATTTCCTGCTCTATTGCTGTTCACATGGGAGGTTTTAGTGCACCATCTTGTACTTGTGTGTTCCAACTGGGCGGGGGGGGGGCTCCTAATGGACACAGGAGGTATATGGACCTGGGAACTTAGTGCACAGATCTCACCAATAAAGCCTCCGAAAGATAAAAAAAAATTCTCGGGTGGTTTGGGTATTTGAAGTGAACACATCTTAACGGCTCATGTACACTGCAGCTGCTAAACTCACGTTTAGGAGCTGTTCAGCGTTTTTTTTCAGCAGTCCCTGAACTCACCCTAATCTTTTCCTGTGTCCATGTACATATCTTTGTTTACAGTCGTTTACAGGCAGTCGAGTTTACATTTTTTTGAACGAAACAAATTTGCGTTCAGACGTCGATTTTATCAGCGTTTCAAACGCAAAATGCTTGTAAACGTGGCTAAACGCGTCTAAACGTGGCAAAACGTGTTTATAAGCGGTTGTGCTTGAAATTTTTTTTTTAACTCTTCCAGTTCCTGATGCTGTCCAGAGCCTTTTTTCATCATGAGAAATGCATGCAAAGAGTTTTCAAGGTACTCAGATGACAAAACACTGAACACAGGATGTTCCTACCAAGCTTGTCACACATTGTAATGAACAATTCACACCTCAGACCTCTCCCACCCTTGGAAACAAAAGATATGTTAATGACCATTCACACCTCAAATTCCTCATGAAGACCCCCTGCCAGGTGACCTTAATGACTCCCCCACCAGACACCTTTCCCACCCTTGGAAACAAAAGATATGTTAATGCCCATTCTCACCTAAAATTCCTCATGGCGACCCCCTGCCAGGTGACCTTACTGACTCCCTCCACCAGACACCTTTCCCACCCTTGGAAACAAAAGAAATGTTAATGAACAACTCACACCTAATTATCTCAACACATACTGCTGTCTCTGCTTCTACTCTATTTATCTGAAACAGTCTGAAATAGTTGATAATTTACCACTTTTCAGTGCATTCTGGGCATTTGGGAGGTCCTCCTGTGCTTATCTTTCAAAAACACTTCTAAACGCAAATGCACATAAACGTGCATACACGTGCAAAAGTGAGCATAAACGTGTTATGCAAACGTGGCTAAACAGACGTTTTTTTAACCTACGTTTTCCAGCAGTCAGTTTCCATCGTTCAGAAACGTCCCGTGTACATGGGGAATTATTGAGTTAAGTGAACTTTCTACATCTCCAAGCCCTTTGGCTGCAGTCACCTCTGCTTTCACATACTCCTGATAGCAATTACTAAGCATTTGGATCTGTCCAACATACCTTGTTCGGATGAATGATTTCAGATTCCAGAGCATGAAATTCAAGAATATTGAAAAACTATATTTCATAATTTAGCACCTTCTCTGCCAAGTCTCAGGAAGAGAAAGAAGCCAGATTATTTCTTTTATATCTCAGATTCTTACAACATAAACTGTCTCTTCTCCAACATCTTCAGTGGGGTCTTAAAAAAAAAATTGTGATCAGCAGTTACATAGTTACATAGTTAGTCTGGCTGAATAAAGACAAAACTCCATCCAGTTCAACCATTAAAAAAAAGTTACAATCCTATACCCACAGTTGATCCAGAGGAAGGCAAAAAACCCAGCAAAGTATGATCCAATTTGCTCCTGCAGGGGAAAAATTCCTTCCTGATCCCCCGAGAGGCAATCAATATTACCTGGATCAACTTTACCTATAAATGTTAGTATCCAGTTATATTCTCATGAAGTATTACTAAGGAAGGCCTCCACTGAACCTTATCCAGACTGGCTAAATAGAACCCAATTCTAGTTTTGGAAAATCAAACTAAAATTGTTTGAAATGCCAAAATAACAAGATAAAATATTAAAAAAGTAAAACTTTTGCTGCAGTATTGACCTTCAATCAGAGCTGTCCCCCACAATTCTTTTTCCTCTCACTTTCTAAACTCTGCTGTACAGGGACTGCAAGAGGCTAAACACCAATTCCAATTCAAGATACTTACCCTACAGATACTTGCATTAAAAAAATATGTTTAATGATTTATTCATTAATACAGAACTTCATTAGTTTTTGCCTTTTGACTCTGACTGAAGTTTGGCTTTAAATAGAATTCCAAATAAACATATTAATTGCAAAGAAGCTAGTATATACTTGTCTCTCCTGCTGCCCGTGCTGCCATACACCACTATAATAAAGAGAATTTATCCCCTGAAATCTCTTTAGAATTTGACACTTCCATGAGTGTCAATCTCCTGTGTACCCATAGAGCTCACTTGTTTCTCCCTCCGACCTCCATGC